CGCAACAAGTAAAATAATAATTGGATTATATAAATTATTTACCAATACTATGTATAAGACAACGTTAAAAAACTGGAGTGTACAGTAGCGACACCTCCTCGCATTATTCTACATTTTCACGATTCATTTCAACAAGTGATAATTGGAGTGAAAAGGTAAGACAACAACAGAATAATTCTGGAAGGCGCATTGATTGATAGATGATTACTTCAATCAATTTCCTAAGAACGGTTTTCTCAAGTATCAAAATCGAAATTTCCCAGTATTCAACAGTTTGCCGAAAATTGAGAAACTGCTAAACTCAAGCAAATTGAAGCAGAAACACCACTTGTTCTATTTGTAATCTGATTTCACGAAAATTAATCAAAAAATACTCCACCCACCTATTCTTACAAGCGTTCTCCTTTCGAGCACTAGCAACTGCGTCAAGCTTGTAATGGGGGAGTGCCTAAAAATTTATTACAAATGTTTCTCAATTATAATAAAGCAGCTCATTCTTTACCTCATATTCCTGAGCGAAAAGAAAATCTGAGTCCCGGTGCCTCATAAGATATTCAGAAGGCAAATCGTCGACAGCTATAGCGTGGTAGGTTGATGGACGAAGAAGTGTTCGTTCAACACCCATAGAAGATTCTTTCGACATCCACAGCCAGTGACACCACTGAGAGACTTCACCACGCCTGAATTATCACTAAAGCGTATGGCGATTCCCATGCCAATCAACTATGCATAGGCATTCAGATCAAAGAATCGTTAGCTAATAGAAGAATAAATAACCAAAAAAGGTTAAGACTAGGCCTCGGTGCACGCAGGACTTCCACTCAGGAAGGGGTGTGACGAATTTGATGCTATCGCCATTGCCGGTAGTGCGTCACGTACACTGCACAGGAGCACGCACTCAGCTACCCGTCCGACCAACAGTTTACTGTTTATAATTTCGCACCAATCGCCTGCTTCTAGCTCCCCTTCTGATCCTTACCACATTCCAGGAAAAAAATTCCGCAGCCAAGGTCAGCGCGAGGGTTCCCCAGCCTAATACTCCATACTCACATCATTTTTGTGCTGTCTAGACTTACTTGTGTAATACAAACAATCCCATTACTGCAGCCATCGTTAAGAATGCCAAGAGAGGCACAAGCACAGTGAAGAAGGCTCCGATCATGCTCCTTTCTGAAGCATCGTCCATGAAATATCAAATCGAATGACCAATAATGAGCATTGCTACATACCGTCTTCTGGCTCCAGAAAAACCGGTTTGAAGTAACCGCTGAAACCATAGGCTGGGCCACTTAGGTGAAGCTGACGGTATGCACGCGGCCGCATAGGGTCCAAACTGGAAAACGTGACACTTCATATGCACAAAACATGGAGTAAAGCCCAGATGATATCTATCAATGGATTTAAATTCTCACATTCTGCTGTAGTGCGCTCCTCCTTGAACTTCATCCTTGTCATCCTTATCAACCCTCACAATCAGGAAGCCTGTGTACTTTAGTCCCGGTCGCAGAACCACGTCCTCAGCCTGTATCGACTCAGGTATCTGTAAGAAAGAGGTTTCGTCGTCTTGTTAAGTGTTCAATTTTATTTTTAGGTACTCACAACACGCTGCAAGGCTTCATCCCAGTCACGCCACGACCATCTCCAATGACCGTATCCACGGGATATTCAGTGTAACTCTCCGCGATGTAAGCGAAGAATCTTTTCTTCTCAAGCTGCCAAAGCATTGAGGTTGTTATTGAAGGCCTATAAATAATAAGTGTAACGTCATCAAAGCCATTTTCGAAAAATCCTTAAAGAATTACCTTGGACACCGTATCCATCACAATCTCTTGAGGCGGGGAAGCGTTTCCAATGACACATTCTTTAGCAGTGGAACAATACCGATATAGTAGCAGCTAAATTTAACGCAATAAGCTTGATACTTTTCCTTTTCAAATCTGATCACTCCTACAAACTTGCAAAATACCTTATTGGTCCATTAGTATCATCGGGTTTCGATTTGAAGGCCAAATTGAACGAAGTATGATTAGCATTTGTGGACGTTACAGGTTTCTCTACCTGCAAAGGTTCACAATAATTCACTACGTAAGGTCTGCAATTAAATCGTGAAATAGGACACATAAATTACGAACCACATCTGGCTGAGCATAGTTGGTGATACAATGCTTGGGAAAAACCAGCGGTGAAGAGCGACCTGCGGAGTTCTCTGCCCATACAGTGATTGTGTAATTCCGGTTAGGCTAAAACAACATCTCTAAGCTGTTTACCGACCAGCAAATTCAATCTCTAAATACCATTGGGGCCTTGAATTCGCAGCTCTAAAAAATATTCTCACCTTGAGCGGTCCATATTTGCAGGAAAGGAATTCTGTGGTGAATTCGATAGGATTGATTCCATGTGACGCATCCTCACGTTCATCCCAGTTAGCACATTTCTCCTCATCTGTTGGCGGTGGAAAATCATCAGCAACGAAGTGCACTACCAGGACGCATACTACGTCGAACCG